AAAAAAGGTGGGTTTGGCGCGGTTTTCCGGCGAGGGGAGAGGTTTTCGGCAAGGAAAGTTGGTTTTCTGACCACAATGGCCGTGCACGGCCATTTATATAGGCCGTGCCTAGGCTGCACGGGCAAAGGCGCACGGCCATGCACCTTTGGTTGTTGCCCGTGCAGGCCGACACGGCCTGGCCGAGGTGAAGCGCACGGCCGTGCACAACGCACATTTGGCCGTGCAACAATCACCGAGAGCACGCACGGCCAGGCCAGGCATAGCGCACGGCCGTGCAATGCTATGCCATGCCCGTGCAAGGCGCACGGCCAAGCCAGGATGAGCGCACGGCCGTGCGTTGTGCACTTTTGGCCGTGCACTCCTGGCCGAGAGCTCGCACGGCCGTGCAAGTTGATTTTCTGGCCGTGCGACTTGCTGGGGTCCCGAAATCAACCTGTTTTCACTCAAAAACGACACGTAACTCCGGATCAACGTCTCAAGACTCAAAAACACACAAAATCAAAGGAAAAAGAGTAAGAAAATGCAAACCTCGGTGGGGTTGCCTCCCCACAAGCGCTTCTTTACCGTCTTTTAGCTGGACGCCAGTATGGATGCTCAGGGAAGTGTTGGATCAGGTGCCTTCAAGAGCGGATCCACATCGCTCTTGAGGTACAGCTTCAAATGGTGGCCATGCACACGACGAATGTGGCCACCTGCATTTGCCAGCTCGACTTGGCCATCCGGTAGGATGCAAGCGAGTGAATACTCGGATGGCCAAGGTGGGGGCGGGACCAGCTCATAGTGGTCTCCGGCTTTCGTTCGAGCGGTCTCAGCTGCCTGCAGTTTCGGCCGCCACTCCGCCTTGATCTGTTCTTTGGATGACGGAGTGGTCCGGAGTGGCGGTGAAGGTGTGGGAGGCGGGTCCTGCAAAATAGGCAGCACAGAAGGATACACGACAGACTCGTGCTCCTGGTGAGATGCAGCATGCAGAGGTAGCGAAGCAGGTATAGTGTTAGCAACAGAAAACGTTATTCGCTCCTCGCCATCCCTCAAAACTACGGTCTCATCATGCACATCGATGAGAGCCTTGGCGGTGGCCAGGAAAGGCCTTCCCAGTATAAGAGGCACTTCTGTGTCCTCACTGATGTCCAGGATAACAAAATCCACAGGATATGTGAATTTGCCAACCTTAACCAGAAGGTCTTCCACTATGCCTTTAGGATGCACTACAGATCTGTCAGCTAATTGAAGGGTCATCCTAGTAGCACGGGGTTCACCTAGGCCTAGTTTCATGAACAATTTATATGAAATCACATTGATACTAGCACCTAAATCCGCCAAGGACTTCTCTACATGCAATTTATCAATAGAGCACGGGATAGTAAAACTACCTGGGTCCTTTTTCTTCTGCGGAAGCTTGTTCTGCAGAATAGCCGAGCACTCCTCGCTGAGCTCCACAGTGGCCAGCTCACTCAGCTTCTGCTTCTTTGAGAGAAGCTCCTTCAAAAACTTCGCATACTTCGGCATTTGCGATAGTGCCTCCAGGAAGGGCACTTGGACATTCAGCTTCTTAAGCATTGCGATGAAGTTCTCGAACTCTGTCTCCAGCCTGTCTTTGTGCAACCGAGTAGGGAAGGGGAGTTTAGGGACATACTCCTTCACTACTGGTTGCGGTTTAGGTGCAGGCACCTCAACCTCCTTCTCTACTTCTTGTTCAACCGCTGGAGATGCTGCAACAGGGCTTTCTCTCTCCGGTTCCCGAGCAGGGGGATCAACAGTCATCTTGCCGCTCCTGGTCATGATGACATTGCAGCGCTCATCTGGGGTCGGTGGGTGAGGAATGGTATGCCCGGGTAGAGTACCAGGAGCCCTTTGAGCCACTGCCTGGGCCACGCTCCCCAGCTGGGTCTGGATATCATGCAAAACAGCCTGTGTGTTCCTCTGACCAGCTTCAAGAGCCAGGAGTTTACCCGAGGCCTTCTCCATGAACTGCTCAAAGGTGTTGAATTTCTGAGCACTAGTACTGGCGAGAGAACCCACCAAGTCCCGCAGTTCAGCCATCTGATCATTCTGCACTGGGGCAGCAGGGGCTGCACCGGGCTGCTGGAAAGGCCGCGGCTGTGATTGAGCAGCGTGCCCCTTCATGGGCTGATAAAGAAGCTGTTGTTGCTGCTGGAATTGCCCCTGTCTGGGCTGATATGGTGGCCTCTGGAAGCCCGGTGGTCCCTGGGGAGTTGGTGGTTTGGGATTTGGCCCAGCCCAGGAGAAGTTAGGATGCTGGCGCCACCCCTCATTGTACGTGTTGCTGTAGGGGTCATTGCGCTTGACATTGTTGATGAAGTTCACCTGCTCCTGGGGTGTGGTTGATTCCTTCATTGCTTGGCAGTCCTCCACCGTATGATGGGTGCTTTCGCACCATTGGCAGAGCATCGTCTGCTGCTGTCCGGTCCCTGGAATCATCCCTGAACGATCGATAGCTGAGACCAGCTTCGATACTACCTGCACCAAATCAGATGACTGTGTGCCCACAGCATGTACACCTCGGCTCCTGGCAGTGCCCCAATCATAACCATTCTCCGCCATCTCTTCAAAGAGTTGATTCAGCTGTGGCGGGGTTTTGGTCAGCATGTTCCCGCCACAAACCGAATCGATCAGCTGCTTGTCCTCCGGGAAGAGGGCGTGATAGAAGGTGCCCACCTTGAATGCATCATTAAAATCATGATTGGGACACCTGAGAAAGAGGCTGGTGTACCTCTCCCACGCATCCCTAATGGTCTCATCCTCATCCTGAGAAAAATGTGTAATCTGCTTCTGGAGATCAGCTGTCTTGGATGGAGGATGGTAGCGGGTGAGGAACTTGTCCGCCAGGTTGGCGAACGTGGTGATGGAGCCCGGGGGTCGAGTGTCTAGCCACTCCTTGGCCTGCCCCTCCAGAGTGAATGGGAAGTACCTCAGCTGGATGGCATCTGCTGGTACCCCATTGATCTTGATTCCATCGATGAGCTCGTGGAATCGCCTGAGATGTGATCGAGGGCACTCTCCCTCCTTACCACGGAACACTACTGAACCGCGCAGCATGGTGATCACGGAGGTGCTCACCTCAAAGTTGTTGGCTGGGACCTGAGGGTGTTGAATGGGTGACCTCATGTCCGCAGCCCTAGCGGTCTAGTAGGATCCCATGGTCTGCTCCCCGGGGATCACATTGTTGTTCTGCGGATCACCCATCTCTCCTTCTTCTTCTTCTCCGATCTGTAGCTGTGATAGGTCCTCCTCCGCAGCCAGTCGTGCCTTTAGAGCCCGCTTGAAGTTCCTGCAAGTTCGTTCAAGCTCCTGGTCTAATGGTAGTAGATCTCCCGACTGGCTACGGGTCATGCACTACCTGCACACAGTCAGCAGAAACAACCCGTGAAGGCACACAGGTGGAAAAGAAAAATGCAATAAAGAAAAAGATAGAGTAACAAATTATCACGTTTCCCCAATAACCTAGAGGGTCCCCGGCAACGGCGCCAAAAACTTGACACGCCTAAACACAACACCAAACTGCGACCAAGTGTAATCGCAGTCCGGGAATGCAGTAACAGGCAAGTTTAATTATCAACCCGAGGTCTATATCTACTGCTTACTCCGTGATTCTCTATTATCTAGCAAACTAGTTCGAGTGATTGTTGTGAAAAGTAAAAGCAACAAGAAAGCAGTAAATTGTTCGGGTTTCTAAAGCAGGCAAGAGTCACTCGGGATTGAGTCCCCCTAGCCCCTTAGTTAGGTTCAATTGCAATTCCCTGGGTTGATTTACTGTTGATTAGACTGCGGAAGATCCGACAGTAGCTTGGAATCTCTTAAGCTGACCAAGCCCTCTCAGTCTAACTACCCGGCAGACGACTAGTCTTCACCGGGATAGAAAGCTGAGGCTATGAACACAGAACTCCACTACTGGCGCAAAGAACACCAGTACAAAGCAGTAAACTGGCTAACTCTCGTATAGCCAATCTCCTACTATTGAATGAAGAGGCTCTAACAACCTAATCAGATTCTATCTATCTCAGGTTGAAGCAGATATTGAGAAAAGCTGATCAGACTCAAATCAATTCGTTAAACATGCGTCATTCGATTAAAATCAAACAGTAATATCATCCCAAGTCATTACAATCAAATCCCTAACACAAGGAACTAGGGTTCTTCATACCCAAGTGAGAGAAGGGTTCTACTCCATAGAGAGAGAAGAGAAAACAAGAATCGGATTAGTCATACTCATAACGATGAGGATAATCTGCTCCGGGACGATGATTTTCACTCCTAGGACGATCTCCAGGCTCGATTCGATGAAATCCAGCTCTAAGACAGCTTCTAGGGTGTGTTCTTCGCACTTTCTCTCTCTAGGGCTCTGTTTTTGCTCTGAAAACACGATTTTCTCACTTTTGGCTCGGATTAGGCTTTAAAACCGGTTTCCCCGAGTTGCACGGCCAGGTGCACGGCCGTGCACAACACCATTCTGGCCGTGCACCCTGAAACGCGCCGTTTCACTTAATTCGATCTCAGCCTTCTTGCACGGCCAGGTGCACGGCCGTGCAAGGATCCCGGCCAGCCCGTGCATGTCCTCGGCCAGAGGCGCACGACCATAATTGCACTTTGCACGGCCGTGCGTCTCCATGGTCTGGCCGTGCGGCTCCCCAAAAAGCTCGCCCTTCGTCCGTTCTTCGTCCAATCGACTCCAGACTCGCTCCTAAGCCTTCATTCACGTACTAGGACCTGAAATAACACAAACAAGCACAACCTAGCGTGAAATCGGCCTAAAACACGAGAATCAACACCTCAAACGGTGTAAGTATGAGGGTAAAAACATGTGTAAATGACGGTCTATCACCCGGTTTCGGATAAAACCGAAAAACCCGGACCAAATAGCCAGCCCTAATGGCAAGCAATATGTACTGCTTAGCTGCCACCGATGCAGGAGGCCTCCCATTCCCATTCTGATTTTTCAAAGTTGCTGTCATGACACCAATACCGATGTTTTGACATCTGTTTCCCTTCAATTTAATCTCATCGTAGAAAGTACAGCTTGCATTTGTCCTGACACTTTTGCTTCACTACTTCCAACTCGTCTCTGGGAAGCCCGTAGACACGGGCCACGTCCTCATCATCCAAGGTCATCACCTTCTGGTTTTCTCCCACCCACTCCGTGTTTAATCATTACCAACATCAGTTGCTTATCACAGTTGGTCATTCGAATCTCCAACAGTCCTTCGAATCCCGCCTTCTGCACCTTCTAGCGACATTCCTCATAGTAACTCTTATCCTCCTTCCAGAATTTCACAACACCAAACAACGCTGATGTTTGAAAGCGATGTTGCATCTCATGTGGTTTGTCGCCCTTAACTTTCTCGTCCATAACTTTCTTGCCCTTAGGTTTGTCGCCCACCACTTCATGCCCTTAGCCTTAACTGTATCTTCAACGGGAGAATCTTTGGTATCAAGAGAAGCATCAAAATCAGGAGAAGAAGCTCCAGAAGCAGTAGATAAAGTTTCAGCAGAAAGACCAGCTTTAGTAGGTTCTGGAGTCTTTCGTTTCCGACTAGCTAGTTTCTTTGTACGAACCATCATGTAAAACCTGTCAAACAAACAATCTAAACTTGTTAACAAACATTCTAAGCAGTCGATTGAACATTCTAAACCTGTCAACCAAACATTTGAAACTCGTCGAACATACATTCTACACCTGACAGACATACATTATAAACAAGATAACAAATATTATAAACCAGTTAACAAAAATTCGTAACCCCACTCTTGAACATTCTAAACCTGTCCAACAGACATTCTTAACCCCACAAACAATTCTCAGACAACCAACATGAAAGGATGGACATAATCCATTACATTCACAAGAGAACACATGAACAATTAAATTCATAATAGAACACAAAAATAATTACTTTCAATGATATCTAGGGATAAGAAGCAACAAGCCATCCCCCACACTCAAGCAAACATCACCAAAGGCAACCGAACAATACCAACAGTGAACCAAACACAACTACTTTTTAGTTTATGTGCTCATACAAAAAAAAAAAAAAACAAGTGGTATTGTTGGAACCCTAACACCACACAAGAAAGCAAATACTAAAATCGAAGGGGGAAACCGCTACCTCAAAGCGAGAGTGGCTGGGAGATTTTTCCTCTGAGGTAGTGGATCGTTCTCCGACCAAGATGGAAGCACTATTACTCGACAATGGTCGATGAAGACTTCGTCCTTGGAGAAGCTTCCCTACTCGAACAATAGACTAGGAAGTATACTTATTGGCGGAGGAGAAGAAGGGTCATCTTCGTTCTTTCACTACTGCTATGGTCTTTTTCATCGCGGAGGAAAAGAAGAGAGGAATGGCCTCCTTTCTTTACTCGATTTCTGGTCTGGGTCGAGGGAGGGGAGGAGAAGAGTGAAAAGGGAGAGATGGTTGACGGGACAAATTTTCAGTTTTATTTATTTGTTTAAATTTTTTTAATTCGAATTATGGCCCCACTTCTGGTCTGGGTCGACAGGGGAGGGCTGGGCTTATGCGGCTCCAAAATTCAGCTCCTCTCTCGCGCAAACTACTTCTCCGCGCCGGCCTCTCCTTGCCAATCATTTCCTAGCCGGCCACATGGCCCAATGAGGGTGGTTTGTGCAGGTGCACATGGATTAATCCAGATGAACAATAGCGAAATTTCCACAATAATACGTGAATTACAGTGTTAAGTCGAGCACCTACCTACAATGAATGAAGCCATGAAGGCCTTGTACATCGGGATAGCAATGAAACCGGATTTTCAAATCTTAACAGATTAATTTTTTTAAATTGATTAAAAGATCGTTACCGACCCATTAAGGATATCAGATTGTGTGAGAGGAAGAGCTATTTTGGCACCCGTAATCATTCATAACAACCAATACAGTCAAAAGCGCAATTCTACCTAGAAGCGGAAAAGGGGCAAAATCGTAAAGCGTAAGAATTAAAGCATAAAAGCATAAGTTTTTGACGCATGCTGTAAAATAACTAAACATATGTTTAAGTACGACATATACTATGCAAAAGACGAGTGCATAAAATTTGGATAAGTTAATAAATCTATACAATTCATGTCTAAAGTAGAGCAACTAATAGCCTCTAAATAATAAGTTCATAAACATAAAGTTTAACAATAAGCCACCTTCCCCTCTATGCTAATGAATTTGGGAAGATCCTAGGTGGTGAATTAGATTACTCTATTGAAGCTGAGAATGTATCCAAGTACCTAGTATGTATCTTTTAGGGTTATAGGTATAAATTGCCCCTCTACTATGTAGTTTTATCAAACATGCCCCTCTATAATTTTTCACATCAAATCTACCCCTCTACTACAACACTATTCTCAAATCTAACCTTCTGTTAAATAATCCGTCCGATTTCCGTTAAACACAATCAAATTAGGACCCAACAACCTAATACTACTAAGGGGTCGTTTGGAAGTTGTGATTGTTAGAGTTGTGTTTGTTGAATACATGTATTGTGCACAATATCATGTTTGGAAGTACAAAAGTGTTAAACAATGCATCCATTGTTATAGGTAGGTCCCACCAACAATCACAAAAAATGATGCATTATACAATCTCAACTAAAAGTTGAGATTGTTATGATTGTTGGTTTTAGATTTGTGTCAACTTTTTCTTTCCATTTATATCCCCAATAGCTTTTGTATTATTCTAAAAGTTGAGGGTAAATGTGACATTTCCCCATAAAAGTAACTTTATGTAAATCAATGCATAAAATAGAATCTCAACAACCAAACAATGTATTGTAAAAATACATCTATTGTATCAATACATGCATTTATATTATGATGATTCATTACAATGCAACGATTTAACATTCACAACTTCCAAACGACCCCTAAATTGACTTCTGTTTTGTTTATTGTACTTTAGGATAAAAAAAATTATAATTTTCATTCTCTTCCCCCTTCCTCTCTCTCCCCATTCTTCGACGAACTGTACACAATTCCCATCTCATTCTTGTCGTTGATTGCCTTTTTCCTTCATCTAACTAGACTGTAATAATCAGGAGATATCACAATCGCTTTCAAATAGTGTGGAGATCTAATAGGGTTTTAGCATCTCCATTTAACACTTACGCCGCCGCAATCAGCTACTTAGGGTATTTCTGGATCTGAACTTCTTCCAAATCAATGATTCTCGATGAACCCTTTTCAACGAATCCCTCCCTCAATTTTCTAATTTTCTCGATGGGCAAAGTCAATAGTGGAACGAGGAAGAATGAGAGGGTAATCTGGTTTGGCAGGGATTTTCGATCCTGGTCCCGCGTTTCAACCCGAGCTTCTCCCATGGCGGGCCTGGGTTTGTTCAAAATCGCAATCTGTTTATACTCAATATATTTTCGATAGCATTTTCTCTTTTCCATGAGGGTTTCTGGACCAGGGAACTATTTTGTTTTGCCTTTCTTGTTCATTGTAAATTTGATGGAATCTTGTTTAATTGAATATGTTGTCTTCAATTTTGCTGGATGTAGTGTTGCTGGTGATGGATTCCAATCTTCACACGCAGTTCCAGTTAGGAAGTAAAAGAAAAGTAAATCCCTAATTTTATTTTATTTTTATAATTAATCCCTAATTCCAAAACACAAAGGAGGGTAATCTTTGTAATTGTCTGCCAGTGAGATCACGGTTGGACTGGGATTAATATATTTTGGATGGAAAACCTAACGGAAGGGCATATTTGAGAATTGTGTTATAGTAAAAGGCATAATTGATGTGAAAATTAGTAGAAGGGCATGTTTGAGAAAAATACATAGTAGACAGGCAAATTATACCTATAACCCTATCTTTTAATCTCAGAAGTATATTATTTTTGGCGATTTTCCTTTAAATATATACTTTGTATAATTAATTTCACGAAAAGAATACTCATTTAGTAAACTAAAAGTGTAAAATCGTAAAGCGTTTTGGTTACCTAGAAGCGTAAAAGCGTAAGCTTTTAAACTTTAAAGCGCAATTTAGTCCGATTTTATACATTGAAGTTTTTATATTGAAACAAATACGTTTTGGTGACCTAGAAGCGTAAAATCGTAAGCTTTTAAATTTTAAAGCGCGATTTTAACTGCATTGATAACAACTGATTGATCGATCGAAATTTAAATTTCACTTGATTCGAGCTCAGTTCCAGATGAAGTTAAGGTTCGAAACCAAACCTCAGCTCAAGGTTTCAGTTCAATGTCCTTTGCAAAAGCCAATATAATATTTACTGCTATTTTCTATTGGGGACCAAATAGCAACATCAAATATGACAGCAAGTCAAACTAGAGTACATATATGAAGAGAGACTATCTGTACAGTGTTACAGACTCGTCCAAAGAAAGAAAAGAAGGCTCCATTAAAGCTGTTACGTGACAACCTTCTCTGCCCAAATTGACCATAAGAAAGTAGGTATAGATCATTGCCACTTTCCAATCCATTTTTCCTTTCAATCCTAAACCGTTTTGTTTTCCTTTCGCCTCCCATGATTGCAAAATCTCTTCATATATGGCCTATGTTTAAGCCGGCTTTTAGAAGTGCTTTTTGGATTCAAAAGCTGGGGCAGAACTAAAAATACCTCTAAAATTGTTGAACAAGCTAAGCAAAATTCAAATTTGTGCACTCCCCCACCGAACACTCATCGGATGGAACTTCAAGTCGGCAGCAAACCACCAATAAAAGGTTGGGTTCAAGTTCAGACAGATGGCTCGGTGTTGGGTGATTCGCTCGCTGCTGCAGTAGGTGGACTGATAAGAGACAGATTTGGAAAATGTTTGGATGCCTTCTCGTGCAACCTGGGTGTCTGCTCTATCACTAGTGCAGAGCTCAAGGGTGCGGCTGTTGGCTCGAAAGAGCTTGGTACCTAGGATCAGCGGCGGATCCAGGACATAAGTGAGCACTGGGCCGCATTTGAATAGAATATTAGATACCATAAACAAAAATATATAATAATATAGTTTTCATTACAATGCCAATTGTACAAGAAGGTCTTTTAATTTAGCAAATTGATCAATAATATAATCTCCATCCATACTGATAATATATTCTTTTCAAAGAAAATAGCTAAGTAATCAACGAGAAATTAATTGCTTATTTTGTTGCACAAATCAATTTCATGTTCCATTGCTGAAAATGTTTTCTCCATGGTAGTTGTTGAAACGGCTAGGTCAACACTAGACAAATCAACCGACAAATCAATTTGTATTATTTGTTCATCCCTGTTTCCTCCAGCTTCTCTAATAATTTTGCAAGAGAAGAAACTTCATCTTCCTCACATGAGTAGTGCATTCTCCAAATAATGCATCTCATAGCCTTCAAAGTCTCGATGCTAAACTCTTGAGCAAGTTTGTAAATATTTTCTTCATCAAAACACCAGAAAGAACTGTTAGAATCTAGTTTCCCTCTCAATTGAGGCATTCTAAATGATGACTCAGCAAGTTTGTATATTTTCTTAATCAAAAGAATGGAAAGAAAACCAGCTCGACGGGCTAGCGGAGAAATCCATTTGGATTTGCTCGTCTCCACGTTCTTGTTTTGTTTTGGGGGGATTGGGAAATTTTTTGAATTTTGCAAGGAAGGGTGTGCTTTATTTTAGAGTTTTTTTATTTTATTTTAATAAAACTTTGCACTTTTAGGTTTTCATGTCTTTTTTCAAATAAAATCATTGGGGCTATAGAAAATTTAGTATAAACTTAGAGTAATGGTTTGGATATGTTCATCTGAACCATTGTCCTAGTTATACAAAATCCTATTATCAAATAAAACTAGACAAGATTTTAAATAGCACTGGGCCAAATACCTAAATCGAAAATTTTTATAAGCACTAAACTAACTCTGGATTCGGAGGAGGGCAGGGTCGGGGCCTGGGTTGGCTCAGCCCTGAATCCGCCACTAGCTAGGATTCAGAGTTGTGGAGTTAAATCTTGACTCTCAAACAACCATTAACATCATCAAGAATTGGCAGGATGATGATCACCAACGTTGTTTGATTGCCAGCAAGATCGTGCAGCTGCATACTCGTCACTAAGAGGTGGTTATGAAGAATGTTTTTAGAGAATGTAACTACTCTGTTGATTTTTTTGGATTCTAAGGGTCACTATCTTCCTTTTGGCACCCATTATTTCGATGTGTGTGAGTGTGACCCTCACCTTTACCACTGGTTATTGTATGACGTTATGGGTAATATCATGGCCCGTTCTATTATTATAATGATTTAGGACGCTTTCGTCCTGCTTTCTAAAAAAAATGAAATGAAGAAGCCTTTATTGGAAAACTCTTTATTATATTCTTTAGATTTGATTAATAATTGGTTTAATACACTTGTATATCCAAAACTTTCACGGTTGTGCCAATAATATCCAAATTTTCCAAAATACCACTTATATCCAATTCATTCACATTCTTTAACGGTGTTTTTGGATATACAAGCGTATTTAACCAAAAATATATTTGGGAAATGGATAGATTTGGCAAAGAACAACTTTAAAACATGGATATAAGTGGTATTTCGGGAAATTGGATATTATTGGCACAACCGTGAAAGTTTTGGATATACAAGTGTATTTAACCTTAATAATTAACCTTTTTCAAATTATTAGGCGTGAGAGAAGTAGCTAACAGAATAAATTGATTTGGCTTTCTTTTGAGTGGTCATGTAAGATAATGAGATAATTAAGATCCATATTTAATTCTCTCCCAAAAACTCGAGTTATAGTGATTAATTGATTTATGATAGTGAGTACTTGATTCAGGAATATGTAGGTTAGCGTGGTTACTTAAGTTTTAGTAATCACGGTAGCTATCAAAATCTACACCCTTTATTATCTCAATTCACCCTATTTTTAAATTAGCGGCAAAGATTATTTTAAGGTATTTTTGAAAATAATAAAAATATCACACCTGATTACTCTATATATTATACCCAAACTCTAACCCTACTGCAACTCATCTCCCTAACCGTTGTCCCTCTTCGCTCCCCGGCTTCCTCCCTCTGCCTACCACCACCCACACTCCCTCCCTCCTCCGCTACCTCCCGCCCCCACACCCTACAACCCTCGTCGTCCTCTCTCTCTCTCTCTCTCAGCGACCACCTGTTGTCATTGTCGGCCAGCCTCTCCTCCTCCGCCGCCCTCCTCCCCTCCCCTCTCTCTCAGCGACTAGCCTCCCTCCGCTGCCATCCTCCGCTCCCTCGCACGATCTCCCCTGCCTCTCCCTATCTCTAGGAGAGGCTCTAGATATGGTGTTTATTATTTTGGTACTGATTTATTTGTTTCGTTTTATAAAATGGTATAGGTTTTTTCATAATGGTATTGATTTATTTTTGCAAGGTATTCTTTTGATTTATAAGTAGTGGTATTGGTTGATTTTGGTATTGATTTGACTCTTGTAATGGTATAGATTGTTTATATTGGTAGTTTTAGTGTAATGATATTTTTTTCATAATGTTATTGATTTATTTTTGCAATGGGATTGGTATTTTTCGAAATGGTAGTGGTTTTCTAACGAATTGGTATTGATTTATTTGTATTGGTGTTTTCCGAAATGGTAGTGGTTGTCTAACAGATTGATATTGATTTCTTGTTTTATTTTTGATGTGTTATTATTTCGCTTGAACGGAGAAACGAGAAAGATTGAGAAAAAAGAAGAAAGAGAGATCTGGCTGGAGATTCAGAAGGTGAGAGAAATATATTTTTGTAATTTTCTAAAATATAATTTATTAAAAAATAATTAATAATTTTTTTGCCACACCAAATTTGCCCTTACTAGCCATGGTGATGACTATTTCGTAATCACTCTAACAGTTCTGATCAAGTAACTAAGGGATACAACATTGTCATCTACACAATATATTATGGCATTTCACTCTATGTCATTGTTGCCACCTTGCACTTTGATTGGTTCTCCTTATTTGGTGGAAGGGCAACTTTGACAATTTTTCAAACACTCAAGGGTCACTCATTATTATTGAACTTTTGGTTTTTTTTTTAGTAAATGCGATTAGGATTAAGGAAAAAGAAGATTTGTTTTAAGCTAAATGCTACATAATAATTATTTGAATTTTGCTCTGTGTAGATTTATTTTGTGTGGTTAAGGAAAAAATAGAGGCTATCTAAAGTTGTTTAACTCCTAAATGAGATAATGCTTGCGAATTGGATTTTGAGATGATAAAGATGATATATCGTTGTGACGTGGATTTTTGGGAAGAGGTTCCTTCGGAATAGGTTTTTTCGCATTAGGGTTTTACGTTAAATAGATAAACCAAGCATCAACCTTCAAAAGTTTTAGAATCTTCATTTCACAGTGATTTCGGCAAACATGAAGAGGAAGAAAGACGGGAATCTTGGCAAAATACAATCAATTTATATTGTTTTAAATTTTTTTAATTTTCAAATTAGCATGTCTAATTTTTACATTAAATTTTGAAAGGTAAGATCGCATGTTTAGTCGTAGGTTAAACAATAATTCGATCCATATCGTACCGACTCGATATTTGTGTCGAATTAGATCAAACAAAAAAAATCAATTTTTTACTATATGTAATTGCTTAAAATCGAGATAGTTTTTATTAGAAAATTATTAAACGTAAAATATGGTCCAATAGAATAACTTAAATGCTTCTTCAACCTAACTACATTGTGATTTACATCTGAATAGTTCCATTAACGATTAAAAAATAGCTGTATAATGATAAACCATTAATCTTGAGTCATTGAAATTTTTCATCCGACAACCGCTCCGCTTTTGAAAATATAGGACATAGTCAATAAAATATTTAAAAATATGAGCATATTGTTAAAGGTTAAGTTTATTGAATTATGATAACTAAAGTTCAAATGATTGAATAACTTAAAAGGGCCATTTCAAGTCAAAATATTCTTTTGCTAATATTTTTCATTTTTGTCTCTTTCAAAAATATAAATTTAATACATCTATACTAATATTTTTGGATTTGCTTTACATAATTTTCCAAATAATCTATTTCCATATCACATTTCTCCTCGAATTTATGTATCTTTAAACTATTTAAATGTAATACATCTATAGTAATATTATGTACATTATTTACTTTTTAGTTCAGTAGATGACAATCAACTATATTTAAATTAAAATAGTAATAAAATTTTCAAAGCTTCATTTGCAAGGTAATTATTCACATATAACGAAGATAAAAAAAATTTGTTGATTTTTTTTTTATTCATTGATGTTTAATATCTCAAGGCATGAATATAGATTCCAGATAGTTTTTCATTTCATTCGTTGTCTAACTTAAATTTCTTATAGTTAAGTATAAAATGAAATACAAATTCAATAAAATTATAAAGTTAATGGGCACTAAAAAACATAAACTATCAAAGTACTTTTTTGTACTACCAATGCACAATACTAAAAATCGAACCACCTACGTTTAACTAAAAAAAATACCAAATGATCATAAACCGGCCAACGGGCCGGATACAACACTAGTTATACATTATACAAATAAAATAATGCAAGATCTTAATATCTTCAACAACATCCCAAATTATTAGAATACTTAATTCGTTTATGATATAAAATTTGGAGGTCAGCAATTACAAATTATGGTACTTCAAAAGGGAAACTACAGTACATCAATAAAAGTTTTTCAAAATTAAAAACTGGAAATGATAGGAAGCTAGTTAATTAAAATCAACTACTCAAATCCAAATAATTGATCTATTCATAAAAAAGCTAAGCTTCATGACTAATCCCATCTAGCATCTGATAAACAGCTGTGGCAATCTCATCCACTGTATTCAGCCTGCAATCATCTTCAACCTACAGTTTGAGTTAATGCAAAACACCTAATCAGTAATTAATTATTGTGCTTATGCCTTAATCACTCTCCCTACGTCTACAGAGCCTACGCATAAGTACACCAATACAAACAGAAAATGACAGACCAGCTGCTAATTAAGCTAGTTGCTAGTAGTGAAAGACAAGAGTCCACCCTCTTTTTTTTTATAATTAAATCACGTTCATGGTGGAAATTCTACTTTTACCTTGAGGCTGAGAGTGTAGAGCACAGTTGGGCGATCATCCTCATCCGCCGCCGCCGTCGTGACATTGAGGTGAAGAACAGAGAGGCGAAAGCTCTGCAGCCCGGCGACCAGCCTCAGCAGCTGCCTCCCTTGCTTCCTCCACCTAATCCTCACGCTGGCGTGACTCTCCACCATCGTCACCTCCACGTCACCGACCCTTCCACTGCCGCCGTCGTGACATTGAGGTGAAGAGGAGGTGGAGGAACTGTACTGCGGGAAGGTGAAGAACTCGGCAAACGGCGGCGACTGATGATCTTCTCGATCTGTCGACTTCCGTTTGGTCTCTTTGTGGTGTATTATGGCACCCAAGTGTTGCAGCCTCTGCTCCAGCTCCTTCACAAAGTTAATCGCCCCGCCGATGATCGACGCTTGGTCGCCCTGTTTTTTCAATTTCATTAATACTCTTGATTGGTACATAATCGAGTTGGTCCAACGGTAACAGTTAACCCAAATGTGGTGAAAGTAGTGGTAATTAGAGTAGCAATTATTATTACCCTTTGAACGTAGGAATCAGGCATAAGGGAGCGAAGAACAGAGAGGTAGTCATTCATTTGCTTCCTCCGGTTACGCTCGACGGCAATGTGGGTCATCCTCTGGCTCTCCAACTCCTCTCTGTTTTTCCTGCTCCTCGCCTGCCGCCGTGGTTTCTTCCCGCGCCGCGGAACAGCCTCTGCCTCCGCTGTGGCAGCAGGGGAAGAAGGTGATGGTGGATTCCCTCCGCCGTTGGATTCAGGGGACCCGACGGTGACATTTTCGGCCATTATGGAAGAAGTGGATGGAAGGGTAAGGAAGTATTTTTCCCAATTGTGAGGATCATCTCTGTGGTGGTCGAGAAAACAATCGCCGCCGCCGTGGTCGAAATCGGAAGCCCAGTTGGGTGTCGAGCCGAGGAAGGAGTGGAGTGGGTCTTTGGAGGTGAATTGGGTGAAGAAAGGAGAGTACTCTTGCTGCTGCTGCTGGAAGAAATAATCAAGAGCCTCTAGCGCCATTGGAGAGATTTTGGAAGTGGGAATTGCTGCTCTGTTTCTGATTAGGGAAGGTACAGAGTGTGGGGGCAGATCAGAAAGGCAGGGGATTCCCTTTTATAGAGGTTAAAATTAAATCGATCTACATTGTACAGAGGGTTTGCACGTGAAATAGCGTCTAAATTTGTTTTCTTTTTACCATAAGAAAATGTGTATTACTTTGTGTTATAAACGCGATGCTACGGGTCAGGAAATCGCCGGAATCGACAAAGCAAGAATACGAAAGTGAGAATCGAAAACAACAACACACGATTTACGTGGTTCATTAACACAATATGTGTTAGCTAGTCCACGGGCGAGAGAGAGCCAGTTTCACTATATCGAGGAGATTACAGATTACAGAGGAGTATGAGAAGTATTTATAGTACTTCTCCATGTGGGTCTAAACCTAATCCAATCTGACAAAGGAAACGGTTACGGACCAGGCCCAGAGACCCCCGATTACCAGTCGTAGCGGCTGATAGTCCGATTCAAGTCATATCAACACTTTGCTTATATGGCGTAATTGGTATGCGCTTCGCAATTGTTTACTTAAAAATGCAAACGTTAATTAGAAATGAATATTGCAAACAAGAATTTGATTTAGTGGCATTACCACTAGTTTTGAATCTAAAGGTTTTAGGTTCGAACCCCTTCTGTAGCAAGTAGCAACTAATTATAAAATATCAACCTATATCACTCTTACCTAAAGAAAAATATATATGAATATTAGTTTTATTTTAAATGAAGGTGGATGTTATTAGGAAACTAAATAAACTTTTCAATAATCGTTAACTTTTGGAATAAGAATATAATTTTCTAATGAATATTTTTTCCAACTTATAAACACATATTACGAAATCAATAATAATGAAATCAAACAATGTTCTTCATCCAACCCCTATTGAACCGAAGCTAATGACACTTAACATACAATTAGGTGCTAAGTCATTGTGTATGTGTAAGCTTCTATATGAAATGACCTTTAAACTTGAACAACGAACATACCGTAATCGATTTGGCCAGAACAAAGTCTACTAATGAAGTAGAACATGAAGTTCTCTCGTGAGGTCACGTGTTTCATGAACAAGTTAATTTGCTACTTTAATTCATTAGTGTGAATGTTATTTGGCAGTCATTGGTTAGGAGTGAACGAAAGCTACTTGGCATAGTAAATCTCCTTAAGGAATGATAATACATAGTTATTCCATGTAGTCATGTCCATGTGGATATTCGTTTTTACCCCTAACTAATGAGTAGTGATTTAATATCCTTAGTAATTAAACATTACTTGGAAAGTCGGTGACCAAACCCCAAAGATTACAATGTCCAAATTATTGTTCGTACCTAGGGGTGGAAGTTTGGCATCATTATATGGGATGCACCAAATACCAAGTGGAATTTATCATTATTTGGTATTACTGAGTTAATTTTTTTGATTTGTGAGTGAGATTGATTTTTAGTAGTATTCAGTATTCGAGATATGAAAGTAGTATTCTACCGAGCATCCATACGAAAGCATACGAAAAGCATTAGTAAGCTTATGGTGTGAGGAGAATGAGTCACGACCTGAAACATCTTTACCTTGATTGAAGTAGTCATCGTAGTGAACAACATCATTCATGACCTGGTTGAATAAGAATGGGAAATCTGATATCATCTTGTGAAGGCCTTAGCATGATAGGTTGGGTTTGGGTTGAAATAATCTTTCATCAAGTGCTTGTGCCCATCTTTCTTATTACGCCTCACTGGTTTCGTGATGATGAACTATATCGAGAATCGAGATGACAATGAACAAATTTTAGCATGAGAGAAGAATGAAGGATGGATGGATGGATGGCTTTTTCAAGAAAGACAGTTGAACATTGGATGAGTACAATGAACAAATTTTAGCATTATTTTGTAGACATACGAAATGATTCATTCTACAATAATGGCCAAAGTTGAATGTACAATTGATGACATCACTCATTCTTACTAAAGCTGAATGAAAGTTGATGACACAACTTAATCTGATTAAACCTGAATGAACACTTGATGTCCCAACTCAACCTGACAATGTGATGAATCTATGGGTTATCTCGACCAATTATTGTGCTTTCATCATTGATGACATAATATTTAACAATTTTTTTTCTTAATGTAGGAATTAGAGTTATTAAATATATCCTAAACTATATTAGTCTTAAAAAGAAAATTTGTCACTTTGGCATTCTAGCACTCTTTATTGGATTAAAACCCACTTTTGAGAGCCAAAGTATCAAACTAAGTGTAGCACTTTAGCACTCCTATTGTAGTTGGTCTAGTTAGCGTCCTTGTCAAAGTGTGTTGTGTGTATTACCCTAGAACAAGTAATCCTCTCAATAATGTTGTTGAAACATGATAGCTCAATAAGTACGTTATTGTCTGTTTTCGGTCAAGATCGCACGGGATTACATTTGGGTATCCTCCCCAAAAGGTATCGTACTAATTGGGCTAGGTAGACACTAATATACAAGGATATTTTCCATTGTATTTCTAATGTGGTACTTGGATTGTACTCTAAACGATCCTCCCCTCAAGACAAAGACCACGACCTCGGTATCTCCTCCTCAACGATTATCTTGATCCGTCATAGATGTTGTTTCGATAGGCGACACAAGGATTTATCAAACACGGATCTCCTTTGATCTGCCAGACAAATGTGAATCTCCCTTGATTTGCCAAAAAAATGAAGATCTCAAATCCTGATGTCACCAAATGAGGGCCACTAAATTGACGTCTACCACCCCGGATCCAAAATGAACCAAGCTCCGATACCATTTGCTGAAAATGGATAACTCAATTAGTACGATATTGTCCAATTTAGACTAAGCCTATAATGATTTATCTTTGTGTATCTGTCCCAAAATGCTTCGTACTAATTGAGATATGTGGAACTAATATACAAGGGTGTCTTTCCTTGTATATTTATGATGTCTTACTTGGGTTGTACCCTAACATATGCAATCCTCTTTTGAGCTTATCGTGGATCAATCTTGTTCACTCTGAATGAGGATACCATATAAAATTCTCTGTATTTTGTTTTTTTATTATTTATTCTTCATATATATATATATATGGTGCCTTCTACGGTACCCCAGGTGAAATCCGGGGTACCGCATACCTTGAGTATGAAAACGCTATCTAGACCTCGAATTAGCAGGATTTTTGGGCATGATACTATACCCTAACCCTTAATGAGTGAACCCTGGGTCCTAATTATCTTAATCATTACCTATAAACCTTAAGATGCTTCATTACTTTTTTTGCCTATATTTGGACGAATCATAACCGTCGATTATTGTTTCTAATTAAATTGATCTTGGAGTATAAGATTTAGAGAATTAAGACCTAGATTTTGATCTTTATGGGTTAGGGTATAGTATAATGTCTGAAAGATCAGTCAATTCAAGTTCTAGATAGCGTTTTCTTACTTAAGGTATGCGGTACCCCGGATTTCACCCGAGGTACTGTAGAACTCCCCATATATATATATATGTGTGTGTAGGCATCTCAATCATGAAATGAATGATGGCTACATTATTTTTGTAATTTGTAATAATCGGCAGAGTACACTAATCCTTGATCGTCAATCTGCCCCTACCCAAATTCCTCCAAGTTACATATAGAATTGCGTGTATGCCTTCTTCTATTGATTTGGTAATTGATTGTATGAATTCTGAATGATACGGTCGGCCCATTGATTGGGTAATACCTTCAAACCCATCTATGTATCTATCTAGTGGGGGTGAATGTTGCCAATCCCAAATCTCAAATCGAGAGATGGGAGAGAGGAAACACAGTTCTGACAGGCAAAGGCAGAGATTCTCACATTTCTTTCCATTTTCAAGAAAACCAGATTGGAGCGCATGCCATAGACTACCCTACCTACGTACATATATATATATATCAGCGCCCAATCAATTATGGCGTTGAGGAATTCCATGCATGTTACCTTATTATAATAATAATAATAATAATAACAACAACATTGATCTTACTCATTAGGTCATATGCATGGTTGTTTTGTCGCGGCAATCCCAGCGGGTAGAATCGGGTTCAATCGATACATGTTATAAAACTGGCTGAAATGTCTCTGATGACTGATATGATCAATTACACATTAATGTGGTTGATTGCAATTGGAATTATATTTGCAATATCAAGTACTAGTAGCTAAATGATTTTTGAAAATTCCGTTTATGTAATATATGTTTCACTGTTTTTCCCCCAAATAATTTCCTGCACATGCTAATGCACTGGAGTACCAAACAGTGTTTATACAAATGCATTTCACGTAAGAGCATGCAATTACTATAAAAAACTGGTATCACAAAGTCACAAATACACCCAACAAACATACTCAAATTAAAATACTTTAGGGTTAAGAATTTTGATTAGCTCATAGTAATGAACAGGCTAGCACAAAATTAAAATACATCCCAGCAACTCTAATTAAGATGAGTTTATTTTGTATATATGATATGGGTGCATGTTTTTGATTCGATGTGTTTGTGAGTTTGGATGTTATTAGTTCAAATCTTATGTTATCTGAATTACATTCTATTTTGTAAGATATATTTACAAACCAAAGAAGAAGAAAAAACGGTTACTGCATTCGTGCTGTAAAATTCCGCCTGAAAATGTAATTTGACAAAATTACTGTCTTATACATAAAAGGTGTCAACGAAAAATGAAGACCAATTTTACATGTCAATATATACTTTCAACAAACAAATATTTTTTTACAAACAACGATCAGTCGATCTCTTGTTTTATATGAACATTATATTTTAATCGGGCTCACAATTTACAACCTATTAACCTGGATGTATATAATGTATTAACTAATATATATGTGCAGTAGTTCTGACGAGTTCCAGCGGTGGCGTTAGTTTTGGCCACGAACCGCTCTCAAGTTTGGGGCTTTCTGTTTGGCTTGCTTCTCAACAGAGACAAATAAA